AGAGCTGAGTTGTAACAGGACTAGTGCAGTTCTCTTCCCATTCCAGTAAATGGCTGCTAGTTATCATGATCCTGTTTAAACTGCGAGAAGTAAGGAAGACACATCCAGAATGCCGCTTTGCCCCAAAACCTCAGCCTGTGTGTGAGTACTGACAGATGGAAGGATTATTGGAAGCATGGCTAGAATCTGTTTGGGGTGGAAAAGCATGAGCAGTTTTGACACCATATAATTACTGTGATGGGCTTGTCGACACTGCAGATCTTCTTTAAATACAAAGTGTAGTTAATGCAAGCTGGAGGAAATCTCAGGCTCTTCCCTGGTAGTAACTAAAATCATGTTCTGGAGAAGTGTAGTAGCTGTTTTGTAATATTGTAAAAACACACTGCACAGTGAAATAAAGCCATAATTCAAGCGGTCTCCATTCCAACAATAATAAGCAGGGGTGCACAATCCAATATTTAATCCCTGACTGCCTGATCATAGTTTTATTTATTATTATAATCCATTATTTTTATAGTATCCTTGGTGGAAAGTGCTTCTCAGGAAAACTCCGTATAAAGTTAAAAAATTACCATCTAGGGAATTTCAGAAGGAAACAGCAACATGAACACTTTCTGCTGGGGTAAAATCCATCATCTTGGAGCATGGCAAAGCTTGGGGTTTACATTCAGTTAGTTGTTTGACGCCCCTGAGGATATGGGAAGGGTGTAGTAAGGTTAGCAGTGATAAGCAGCATAAATACACGTCTGCCTGTGTAATCCTCGCCCGGTTTAAGGACAAGCCCTGGCCAGAGGCGGCTCCGAGGCCGGGAGGCAGCCGCGGCTGGGAGGACCGGGCTGAGCAGCGGCAGGAGGGACTCGTGCGCCCTCACGAGGACACGGGTGCTAATTACAAGTAAGCCCTCCAGGTCGGCGGTTCCCGCAGCCTTCCCGTCTGCAGAGCAAGGAGCGCAATCTCCAACAGTTACAGGCATCAGCCTAGAACAAGAGAATCCCCAGTATAAGATTAGGAGAGGTACGAATTATGTAGAGAGACTCAGGCAGCTCTGACCGTTCATTTGGCATCACTGCCAAGCTTGCTTCTTGGGAAAGGTGTTTCAAACAGAAGAATGGCATGCACTGACATGCACAAGGTGAATGAATATTCCTTACATCCTGGTAAAGCTGCTAGATATAAAGTGAACAAAGAAAATGGGGAAATGAAAGCAGTGGCTTAGCCATGAAAGAAGAGATGATTTTTTTACCTATAATAATTTCATTGCCTCTGGAGAACTATGGCTCTGAGAGTTGAGGTTGTGTTTGCACGGAGTGACTGACGGCGTAACAGAATGATGTCCAAGACAAGGAATAATGAATTCCAGCATTCTTTGTTACATAAAAGATCATTGCATCTGTTATTGTTTATGCTACTGATGTTGCTACAGTTATACACAAACAGCGCTCAACACTCACAGGCAGTATGAACAGACATTGCAGCAACCCCTTTGCACGCTAAATGACATAGCCACCTTCTGACCATCAGCAGCTCAGCAGCTCCAGGGACATCATGTTCCCACACATCACTGACAGTCATCAGAGTACATGGAAAACAGTTACTGACCCAGATCCAGGGCCACAGGCATGACTTCTCTGCCTTTTGTCCAATTTGTTTGTGGCCAGATCCACTCCTCCACAGTTTTTGGGCTAATTTTCCCCAAATTTGGTGATGATTTCTGGTCATCCTATGAGACAGTTCATTCAGTTTGTGACACCCATCAATCTCCAGCTAGGTTTTCTTTTACTGTTAGTTTTGACCACTTACCTTAAAGATCAACAGTTCCTTACCTTTCTCATTATACCAAATTGCCTTAAAACTATATTTTACACATTTGCCTCTGGCAGGCTTCAGCTGTCCAGGGAAGGTTATGCAAAGACAGGTGTGCTGGGTTTGCATGGCAAGGTTCTGGTAGCCAGAGGCTACAGGCGTGCCTGTGTGAAAAGCTGCCAGAAGCTTCCCCTGTGTCTGACAGACCCAGTACCAGCTGCCTTGAAGACAGATCTGCTACTGGCCAAGGATGAGCCCATCAGTGACGGCGGCAGCACCTCTGGGATAACACATTTAAGAGGGGAAAAAGTTACTGCAGTCAGAGAGAGAACTGAGAATATGTGAGAGGAACAGCCCTGCAGACACCCATGTCAGTGAAGCAGGAGGGGAGGAGGTGCTCCAGGCACCAGAGCAGAGATTTCCTGCAGCTCATGGTGCAGACCATGTTGAGGCAGCTGTGCCTCTGCAGCCCAGGAGGGACCCCACACTGAAGCAAGGGAAGTGTATGAGGAATCCTCCCCTAAGGAGGAAGGAGAAGCAGAGATAACATGTGATAAACTGACTGCAAACCCCATTCCCTGTCATCCAGTGTCACTGGAGGTGAGGAAATACTGAAAATAAGGAGTGAAATTGGGCCCAGGAAGAAAGGAGGGGTGGGGGGAAGGTGTTTTTAAGATTTGATTTATTTGATTTGATTTATCCTACTCTGGTTTGATTAGTAATTAATTAAACTAATTTCCCCAATTCGAGTCTGTTTTGCCCTTGATGGCAATAGGTGAGTGATCTCCCCTTGTCCTTACCTTGACCCATGAGCCATTCATTGTATTTCTTCCCCCCTGTGCAGCTGAGGAGGGGAGTGATAGAGCAGCTTTGTTGGGCACCTGGTGTCCAACCAGGGTCAAGTCACCACACAGGATGAAGAGTCATAACTCCCAGTCAGAACAGTACCAGTTTTCATGTTGTCCCCTCACAGCCTGCTAGCTAGGAGCTAGCAACCATCAAAATAAGGGGAACCTAGGGAACTAGGTAGGAGCAGATTTAATCAGTAAAGCAAATGAACAGCTGGCATGAATTATAGGCTCATAGGATGGTAAGGAGTTGAAAATTAGTTTCATCAGTATAAAGGTGGCAGCCTTTCCATTTAAGCAAAGACTCTGAGAAGCCAGAAAGGCTCTGGTGTCTGTGCAAAGCTTGTGAGGGAGGATTTTGTTTGTGTGCGGAGCTAAAGGAAAAAACAACACCAGCAGAGGCTGAGCTTACATATAATGGAGCTGGGTCTGGTGCAGAGGTGAGAGCTTCAAGGCTGCTAAATATAAGTGGTCATTAAATGTATGAACTTTTCTGGTTTACCTTCCCTGCCTTTCTCGAGGTGACTGAGGAAAAGCTATTCTGTAATTTCAAAATCTGGATCTGTAGCTCTAAATTTAAGACTAGCTTAATATCCAGACTGGAACTTTCTTAGCACAGAAATATTTTACCAAGCTGTTGTCACAGCTGGGACTGTTGCTAATACCTGTCTTCTCTTACAGGTTGTTACTAATACAAATACTAATCTCTGAGATATGGACCCAAGAAAGACCAGGTAGTGCTGCTATAAACTGCTTCCAAGTAACAATTTTCAGGCCTTCTCATGGGTGATAATCTGTGTGTTTCAGAAGAGTGCACGTTTTTCTGAGAAACTCCAAACATACCGGTGTCTATTAGTAACTCTGCTTTAGGCTTATGTACCATCATATAAAGCAAATGTTTCTACCTTTCTATCTCTCACTCTGATAACAAGCACTGATGAACTTCATTGTTGTTCTTGTTTTCTTGACCCTACTTATTGAACATACAATATGTAAGGCCTTTTAGATGCTATAAAGGTGTCATCACTTTGCCTGAGAAGGAACAATTTTCTTAGCCAAAATTGCTGTCTGCTTTAACTTTATAAAACAGAGCTGGTCCTGGAACAGAAGATACAGAGAGAGATGGTTCTAGGACTGTTTACCCTACTCACTGCAGGTGCTATATAAACATATTAGCATTCACCAAAGATCAAAATAAAAAGATACTGGAGGAGGTTTTACCCATCTTGGAGCAATTATATGGCCACTGAGCAGGATCAAGTTAGAACTATGGGCAAAAATGAAGTTGTGTTTGCTAGCATCTGTCTGGTGTTCCCCAGTATGACTGACAAGGGAGCGTCATTTGTCATTTCTGGTTAATTTAAGGACATAGTGCTGAGCTCTCCAGGAAAAAGGATCCTCTAAGCCCTTGAAATGTTCCATTACTATAAAAGGTCTAATTGGCATTAGCTCGCTATGGCATAGAGAATTCTGTTTGAAACAACAATTCTGAGTTTGTTGGAAATATATGTCAAATAGACTCTTCTCTGGTCTTGAGTCCTACATGTAGCATGGTTTGTACCTGCTTCCTGTGTTTAAGAGGATTGGCAGCCATAGCCTGTTTATGCTGCAATCACAGCTTGGGACTTGAGCATCTCAAGCCATCCTGTTTGCTCCTGTGTGGTCTTTTCCTAGCATGAGTCAACTGATTTCTGGTACTTGGGCAGGTGAACAGGGTAGGCTGATGGGTAGCTGAGGTGCCTCGTCCCCACCCCGACTTGGCTTGTAGCTTTTCTTGTGAATAGCTGTGTATGGGTTTTTTGTTTGGTTTGTTTGTTGTTGTGGTTTTGGTGGGATTTTGTTGCTGGTTTTGTTTTTTGGGTTTTTTTTTGGGTGGGGTGGGGCTGGGGTTAGTGGTTGTTTTGTGAGGCTTTGTTTGTTTGTTTAAGTGTGGGTTTGTTGGTTTTTGGGTGTTCGGGTTTTTGGTTTTTGTTAGATAGGGATTGAATTTTCCTCTTTCCAGGATTGTAGAGGGGATTTTCTTGTTTTCTTTTATTCCCATGAAGGTGCTCAGACTGGGGGAGCTAATTTAGTATTTTTTTGACTGTGTTCCAAAATCCCATTTCCATGACTAGCTGTTGTAGGTAGCATTGCCAGCTAATTAGACAGTTACTACTGGAATGCTAATTTCAGGTCTGGCTTTTCTCCTGGAAGTATTGCCAGTTTAAAAGTTAAAAACAACAGTAAAGCCTCCTGGAATAGGACTGTCACAACACTGAGCTTTTATAAAGCAATCTGGGAAGTAACAGATTTCTCATTGAATGTTACCTTTAATCCACTACTCACTAGCCTTTCAATATGTCCAATGCAGGACCAATGAGTGCAGAATGCTTTGGGAACCTTTTGCGTATAACACTGAGTGCAGAATACTTTGAGGACAAATACTTATTCTTCTCTGTTGTTGGTAAGTTGATACAGAAGAACTTGAGGAGGGATTTGCACATGATGAAATGTTTAAAGTTCTCTGAGATACTCTTCTACTGGAATTCCCTGGCTTATTCTAAGCCCGTAGAGTTTAGTAGGTTTGTCCTCATTGTTAAGTAAAGCCAAAGGCTACCTTTATTTCTGTAGAACATATCCTGTAGACTTGTGTGATAACTTAGCAATATCAAGTCTAATCATGGTGATCTTTGGCCTCATGGTAGTTTCTAGGTGTTTATGATGGTGGATTTCCATTCTGGTAAAAATGTTTCCCAGTAACAGAACATACTGTTCTGAAAACTTGTTATTTGAAGATGGGACTACACTACTGATTTTGCATTAGTGACTTTCCACCTTTTTTGCTTACAGCTAAGGGACTTGGAGGTGTTTAAATTCTTACTGAATTCTATGAAAAATAAGCTGGGCCCTCTGGCTATGGCCTCAGTAGTCAACAAGTGGTGCAATTGAATGGAAAGCACCATGCAGAGCCCTGGAAGGACAGAGTGAGAACTTCTGGGATACATAAGTCTCAGATGTAAGATTATATGCAGAAAATGTAAACTCGGCCTTGAACTGTGTTTCCTTGCTAGTTAGCTGTCTAACTAGATTTAGCCAATAGCATTCAGTCACACCCATCTTTCTAGAATGTTAAGCTTGTGTAAAAACATACTTAATAGTGTCTTTCTTCAGGCATTCATATACAAAGAAAGACACTCTGGGATATGAGGAGCTTGGAAGTAGAAAATAACTGTCTTGGGAAGAAAAAAAAAGGCAAAATAACTAAACCAAAACCAAAAAAATGTCCAAAACCATCAATGTAGCTTTGTAACCTAAGAAAAATTCAAGCTAAGCTTTGGTGTTTTTGTCACACTGGTAAGACCCCTGAAGAGAATTCGTTGGCCAGGCATGCACCAAGAGAAACACAGGCCTGTGCCAGCCATAGATCAAACTCCTGATGCTGCTAGTCTGTCATCATGTGCCAATCCTGACAACTTTGGCACTGATGACCTAGGTTTTTTTTTCACTTAGGATTTTATATCTTACTTTGTTGGTGACATTCTCTCCCTGCCCCCCTGCATCTTTTGTTGCAACTCTTTTACCACTTTGCAATTCTTCTATGTCTGAACCCAGGATATACAGCTGGGCCATATTGGAGCAGAGTCAACTGAACCATGGGGCCAGGGCAGGTAGCTCAAGGAGTTAGCAGAGCAGAAGTTATACTCATTAATATGGTTCTTGACTAATTGCCCATAGATCAATCTGGCATAGCCTGGGAGCTCAATGAGGCCATGGCATCACAGTGTGGCTATACAGTAACTTACAGCAACTGGAGTTACATCGAATTTCATGCTTCTGCACTGAGCTGCCATTCTCGCTTAGAAGTAAGTCTATTATAAGTGTTTTGATTGCAGTGCTGTTATGTGTGATTTATGTGAAGCAGTACCAAATTATTGATAGATATTGAGGTGTGGAATGTCTTGAGCATCTGTTAGCAGAAAAAATGTTTAACTCTCAAATATATCCAGAGGTCCTAGAATATTCTATGGTATTGACATTTGAATGGCCTACACATGAACACATAAAGAAGCATATCACATATGCCCTTGAAGAGCAAATCTTTCCTTTTGGATAAGAATAGGGAATTCTGTCTGGCAGCTGTGTTGTACTCTGCCCAAGTGTTTAGTGCCTGAGACACACCAGAGTAAAAAAAAAAAAACAAAACCTTAAAAGCTTTGGCTGCTTTAATTTCTCACTCCTACTGTATCATAAAACTATGCTTTAGGGAGAGTTTTTTTGTCCAGTTCTGGGGCTATATGAAAGGCTGACTACTCCCCAGAGTATTTATGTTGCTATTTAGCTATGCAGCTACATGCACGTAGCCTATGTAGTTAATCAAGTAGAAAGTAATAAGGCTTCAATATGGAGTTGCTCTTCTGTGCAGAGCCTGGTGGATGGATTTTGTAATGTACTGTTAGGTCACCAGGATAGATGGTCCCTAATTAGAGAAAACCAGTCTAACAAGAAAATGTTCTCCCTGTGCATGCAGGAAGATATGTTCATAATAACTGTAGAAATTAAAGCATCTCATGCTGCTGATATGAAAAATGCTACAACTCATGTGAAAAGTGCAAGTTGCTCTTATGGTCCATGGAGGTCGAGAGAGCTAATATGTGAAAGTAACTACATGGAGGTAAGTACTGGAAGTACTGATAGGAAGATACTTAAAAGTAAGGTAAGAAGGTAAGTACTGGAAGACGCTCTCTTTGAAGCTGATTAGATATTAGGAATGTGTATTGGAAGCAGAAATTGAGTGCTCAACCATGAATAGCTCACTAGTGAATGCACAGCATGTATCTTGAGTTTAGTGATGCATTCATATTATGCTTATTTAGCCCACCTGTAAATATTAATAACCAATTAAGTTGTGAAATTTTATTCAAAATGTTAAGCTAACTTGCTGTATGTTGCCTCAACAAATCTCATTTGCGATAACAGAAATGTTTACTTTCTGATGGAAATTTTCCTGCTGAATTTGCTGAGGAGAAATGCAGAGAGGGAGCAAAGGACTCCTTGGAAGAGTACACGGGAGTCAAAAATAAATTTCTGGCCTTAAGTGAAAGTAGAAATGGGAAGACAGGCGAAAAATAAAAACAAGCTGAAACCAAAGGGATTATAGAAAATACACCATGCATGATGACATCTTGTGCCATAATCTTTTACTTGGCAGGAGGAAACCTTCTTCTAGGAAATGCTAGTTTCTCTTGGAAAAGACTTGTTTCCTTGTCTTCAATGTCTTTACAAGTACCATCAGCAGACCCCTTACAGAAGCTCTTTCCCTTCAGGTTTCTGTCAGGAGGGAGGTTCCACAGATTGTAAAGGCCATCATCCAAGATGAACCTGAGGACTGGTATCTTGGCTTTCTGGAGGTAAAACCACAGTATTTTTTTCCTAGTAAAAGCTAATGATACTTCAGGTACAATCATCTTTCTATTCTACATCCACACAGTAAAAATGTCCTTTTGGAAAGCATTTAAGTAGGAAGAGCAGAACTTCTGTACCAAGTGATTTTAGTATAGAGATTTTGATGTGTTAGAAATAGCTGTAGGCCATGTCTCCAGTGAGGAAATGGAAACAAGTCTTTCTCAAAAAGCCTAGAAATAAAGTCTTCCCAAGACAAAAGACTGCAACAAAAACTGTCTTTAAGACCCCATGGCGCAGGAGTGAACCGTGGATAGGATTTTTTCTTCTTGGACCTTGTATTTGCAATGCAGTTAATCTTTATGCTCTTAATATTGAAAATTTTCTGGGGGAAATGGGGGAGGGAAGCTAGAGGGGTATCCCACTAACTATTTAGAATGAGGCAACAAAATTGCTGGGGAGTTCAATACAATAAATCATTCAACATAGTAAATCTGTTACTTCAAACAGCATGTTTAAACTGTTGATGAATTTCTCTGGCTAGGCAAAAGCAGGAGAAGCCTCAATATGGCAAATAGTTTTTCATCAGCCAGAAGAAAAAACGGCTCTGCTTGTGAGTGATGCTTGGAGTGCAGGTTATGGACTCAACACCACAGATGCCCGGGTTGTGCTGCGAATACCATATACTGCTGCACAAATTCAGCTGGTCAAGGTTGGTATGCTCATTCCAGCCCAGCAAGCTGCCAGGCTGTGAGGTCTAAACAGATCTCTTCCTACAGGATCATGGAATTACCTTCTCTGCAGTGAGAGCAAGTATATTTTACAAACGGCAATGGATGATCCTGATGGTGGATACTGCTGTGGCGTGTCCTGTAGGTGAGAAATGCAGTACTTCAATATGTAAATGCACAGGAACTGACTTACAACTATAGTAATGAGCTTACAGATTTCATATCTTGTCCCTAAGATGGTGTGGACTACATCAACAAAACAATCATCTGGACTGTTCCAAAATATATTCAACCAGTCTCTGCTGGAGAAACTAGCTTTAAGGATGTGCTTGTTGAAGCTGGTGTGGATCTACACAAACTCTCTGCCAAAGAAATGGCTTCCAGGAAATATGTGTTATTGAATGACTTAAATGCAATTATGATGAGGATACCAATAGGTGCAGAAGGTGGCTCTTACAAGGTTAGTGACTTATGTTAGGTGCCAGACAACAGACTTTCTGTGGGTTGTTTATCTTTTTTTGGGGGGTGATGGCCTGAGACTTAAACATTTAAATCTAGTTGCTTGGAGTGAACTGAATCCTGGGCAAATGCAGTAAGAAATGAACTGCAAAGGAAGTTGCAGGAGGAGCTCTTTCACTACTGAAATGGTCCCCTGCTGCTTTGAAACTTGGGGATGGGAGATAATTTTGCAGACAGTGTTACAAATATTCCGAGATAATCTAAACTTGTAGAGATATAGCAAGTGCCACTTAGGAGTTTGTCATCTCTGAGCTGAGAGAGCACAATTGTTTGGATCTGTAGCTCTAGCTGACCTTGAGATGCTACAATACAACTTTAATGTGAAATTATGTTATACTAAAGGGTCTTGATTTGAAATTCTAGACTTCTGTGAGCAGTGGACAGCATGGGACAAAATACGCTATCAACCTGTTCTTGGAACATCAGTGGGAAGATAACAAATGGGGACTAACTAAATATATTATCATCAAGGAAATAGAAACGCCATTTGAACAAGTGGAACTTGCTATAAGCAACAGTAAGTAGCCTAACAATTTACTGAAGTCTCTGGCACTGTTAAGACTTTAATGTTATTGCATTCCTTTTCAGATTCAAATCTGAGTTTGAGGCTAATGAATGTTACAGTGGGAACATTCCTCCCAGATGTGAAGCTTGTGAAGTTAACCATTGAGGGGACAACTGTTGCCTTACCTGAAGCTGTTCAGCATGGTTATCTAACGTATGAGATCAGATATGCTAATGGAAGCAAAGCCTACATAATACAAGTCTCATTTGATGCACCAAGCATTAGGAAAGAGGTGCGTACCAGGACACTGCAGCATACTATGGTATAGAAGCAATGATATTACCTGGTGATTTTAATTTCTAAATATGATTTTCCTAGTACATGGGAGCAGATATGAGAGCATACACCCTGAATGTTACACTTGCATTCATAATTCATCCAACAAGTGAGACCTTCACTGTCCCAGTCATAACAGTGTCAGCTGTTAAAGATGCAGGTAAACTAGTGGAACTTGGGCAAAATGGTACCAGCCTGGTTATGGACTTTGCTATTAACTGGGCTAATTTCAGCCAGGGATACTGTCAATCCTAAATAGCCCTATTAAACTCTGACAGCAGAAAGCACACTGATTGACTTTTAACTGTATTGCAGTGCTACCCAGTGCGAGAGGATTTTGTGATGGGAGGAACCTTCATCTCGTTATCACTCATGGGAATGTGGACCAAAACTGGCTCCCCTTCATCTCGGACAGGCACCTGACCCCAGAGTCTGTGAAGAAGTACAGCTACAGCCTGAGAGACAATGGCACTCACTTGGCAATCTCTGTCCCTTTCCTTTCTTCCCACGTGAACTATGAAGTAAGGATGCCAGCATATAGCAATTAAAAAGCGTGCTCTGTCTGTGAAATATGAACATGATACACTATGTCCTTGAAAGTGAAATAAAACTTCCCTTTGAGATAGGCTTCAAAGGGTTAATGGAGGACTCTCCTACCCTTGGAAGAACACTTTAATTTTCCTTTGTTAATGTTGGCAGAAGTAGGCAGGGAAAACAAACATTCTGCAAGCATTTTAAGGCTGAGCTATCTTTTAATGACAACTGTACATACAGTGGGGTTCCTATTGCACTCTATTGTGAAATGACTGAAAAAAGCTCATTGTGTGAGCTTCTAGATTAAAAAAATCTCCTGTGGATTTGACTGGGATCAAGCACCATTACCTTTGTCTTGTGGTAACCTTCTCTCCTAGTTTCTGAATACATTAGTTGAACAATGTGTTTTTATTACCTTGTTTAACCTGTGATTGTCATCTCCAGGATTTTCATGCCTCTGGAATAAAGGCTTCACTCCACCTAACCTTGAAGGATGGCCTCACCTTGGCTAATAAGAGGGAATTCTCAGTTTCCTGCAGCTTTTCACCTTCCCAGCTAATACGTAATAATATGTTGGGGATTAGCTGTTAATGCTCTTTGAGCTGCATAACTAAGTTGCACAAACCTGGGAAGTCTGAAATGTTTCTAGAGTTTATACTTGTGTGATATTCTATTTGGCTCTCAGATTTCCTATAAAATAATATACTAAAAAGCAAGTTAAATTACAGGTTGGAATGACTATCCTGTCTAGTACAGTAGGTGGGAAATTCTACTTCACCTCACAATTCCAAGATCATGGTCCTTTTTAAAGGATTCTTGTAGTTGGTTTGGATGTTGAATGGTTGGGTTTTTTTTTGTTGGGGGGAGGGGGAGGATCAGCACATAAATTAACCACGCTAAAGTTACTCATGGGTATTGAATATATAGAGTATCTCAGCTAGAAAAGTCCTTTTGGGACAGGGTGATAGCTCCTAGGAGGAGAAAGAGAAGTGAAATCACCAGTTTCACTTGTGCTGCACACTCTACTAGCAGTTAGTCTGAAGATTGGGTGTTAATACTGAAGACAGTCTTGCTCAAAACGTGTGATGTGCCAATAACCTTGCTAGCAAATCCATGCAGAATCTCTTCATTGTGCTAGGCCATAAAACATAGGAATGTGAGTCCTGATTTGTATGAAAATATTATTTTTCTCTTTCAGAGTGCCTACCCAATGGTACTGTGGTTATTACTGCAGTAAAATTGGTGGGAGCTGCAGACCTGGACACCAGCCTGTTTGTTTTGAGGGATAGACAGTGCAAACCCAGTCTAGTGACAGAGAGGACTGCAACCTTCAAGTTCAATGTGAACACTTGTGGGACAAGTAGAAAGGTAAGGGTTAGTCATGTGAAGCTTACTGTGTGTTGGGGTAGGGTTATTACTAGAATGGCAGAGGTTCACAGGTAAACATAAACTGCAAGAAGATCGCAGCTGACTTTGTTAACTACTACATCTACACTCGTTTTCTGAGGCTATTAAATTCAGTTGGACAGAAGTTCTTATTTGGCTGGTAACTTATTTTCAAGGTGAGAGGTGTTTTCTGAAATTAGCCTTCAGTACGATACTTCTGAAATGCTTAGTAATGGACTTGAATGTGAGTTTATGCAGTTGAGAGATACTCATATGCCTTCCAGAAGCTGGCTATGTGTTGTTAATGAATACCTGGGCCAAGACTAGAGTGGGTCCTGTTCCTGCCTTTTCAGTACTGCACAGATGGGAAACAGAAAAATAATGGGTTATGCTCAAATTTGGTTCACCACAACTGCAGCTTGCTCCTGCAACTGTTACATCTCATGCTGTACATTGATTCTGTCAACAGAAACAATTGAGCTTTTTCTTAGGCCCAGTGCACTTCCTTTCTGGGGTGTTATGTCATATGCAAGTTACTGTTAGCTAATAAACTGTTTCTTCTTGACTATGGCATAGTTGTCAGCTTTAGCTCAGTAGGCATATGGCTGTTAGCCAGCAATTTCTGGCCATTCCAATGTGTACTCTGCTCAGTGCAGTCTGCCATTCAAGAGAAGGGATGTGAATGTTGTGTCAAAACCAAAGTAAACTCTAATATAACTGTCCTGTTTGTAATGATGTGTCTTTCAGTTCAATAGCACAACTATGATGTATGAAAATGATGTACTCTACTTCAGACCCGGCAGTGATACACCAGTATACCGGTAAGTCTCATTCCCTAGAAAAAGGTTTCTTGAGGTATTTTACTTTCTAAAAATTTCATGCTAAACCTCTTCCCTCAGGCTGAAATTTGTATGCTGGTATGCAATCAAGCAGGCTGTTGATGTCCAATATGAATCTAAGAAGAACCCACCACCCAGTATTAAGCCAGGGTTTGGCTCTCTTGCTCTTTCACTGAAGCTTTTTAAAGGTAACATTAGACTCCATAGAATCACTGAATAGTTGAAGTTGGAAGGGTTCTCAAAGTGGTTTTTGTCTGCGTACTCTGCTCAAGCAGGGCTACCTAGAATAGATGGCCTAGGACCTTGTCCACGTGACTTTTGACTATCTCCAAGGATGAAGAGGAAACCCCTCTAAGGTCTCCAACAGGCTTTTCCATTCCAGAATGCAAAATAAATGGCCAAGTACCTGTAGTGGAACAGATGTAGCATTACTGATGTGTGGTTTCCCTGCCTGGTCTAGGCATGCTAAAAGTTGTAGAGTGGATGTAATGTGAGCTTCTCTCCTATCAGCTCCTTAAGTGTTGATGAGCAGAGAGCACTGACTGAAATAATTTTGTCAGAGAAGGAAACTACATCAATACTGCTGTAAAATGGTAACTATGGGAGTAGTAGAACAGGCTGAAGTATGAACCAAACCCTCACCAGGATCTGGGGTGACCCTAATGAAAATTTCTACTCCTCTCCCCCCACCACTCCATACCTTCAAAGAGGTGCTTTTGAAGGAGCATCTTATTCCAATGGGTTTTTGCAGAAGGAGGAGTGTCTCATTTCTGTATCCTCAGAGCCAAGGAATGCAGTTTAGATCTTTGCTTTCATTGATGTTTGTCTTTCTGCTACCCTATCCCCATCTGTTGACATTCATGCGCTCTCCCACATTTTGGTGTTACTGTGCCAGAGAAAATGGTGGTGGAAAGTGAAGCAGAAAGCTTGTGAATACATTTTCTGTAAAAAGGCAACTCTAACATCAATACTCTCTTCTAGAGAAATCCTACACAGAGCCCTACCAGGAGCTGGAATATCCTGTGGTAAAATACCTGAGGGAGGCACTGTATTTTGAAGTTGAACTGCTCCAGCCTAAAGATTTGAGACTAGAACTAAACCTGGATGACTGTTGGGCTACAAACTCCCAAAGCCAGGACAGTCTTCCGCAGTGGCCTATGCTTATAAATGGGTAAGGAGGGCTTTCCCCCTGTGTTTGGCAGCTGTTCAGCACAAGACCCCTTACCTTAGGTGGGGGAAGGAAAAGGAAAGAGGACTCAAGTCAGCTTGAATGTGTTGTTTCATCCTGATGATCGGCCGCTGCTAGGCGGAGGAGTGCATGTCAGCATCGGCACAGGGATTATGCTTTCTGATGGCAGCAGTCACTGGGGTGCACAGGAGTGGGTCTAAAGGCCATATGGAAAGAACAAGAAGTAACCCTTACTGTGGCCAAAAGCAGGCATCATAAATAAGAGAGGCTCTATCTTTATTCCTGTTACCTGACGGAAATTAAGAGAGAAGCTGCTCTATTTTGCTTCCTTTCTTTCTTTGAAAATCTGGTTCAAGTGATGAAAGTTTGTATTAAATACACTTTCTTTCACATTCCCTAAAAGGTGTGAAAACAGTGGAGACTCCTACAAAGCTGTCTTACACAAAGTTAATTATAGCCTCAGAGTAAAATTTCCTCAGCACCTGAAGAGATTTGAAGTGAGGATGTTCACCTTTGTACTAGGCACAACTCTGTTACAAGAGCAGGTAAGGCATCTCTTTCACATGCTGTCAGCAGTCTTGATATGTGAACCTGGAGCGGTTATTGCAGGAAACGCTGTGTAAAGTCTCAGCTGGGCAGGTGCTCTCTGGGGCTGTTAGCTACCTCCTTGAAGGCATAATACTGTAATAGTAGTAAATAAAGACTAGCCACTGAAGACTGCTCAGTTCATCTCCTTTAGAGTCTGTACGTGTATCAGATGCTTGCCAAATAAGACTCCCCTACACATAATATATTCTTGCCTTGTAGCTGTATTTCCACTGCAGTGTGATGATCTGCAGCACTATGCAGCAGCCTTCAGGCTCCCTTTGTCCAAGGAGATGCAATCCTGGGAAACACAGACTTGGTAAGAAAACTGGCGCTTCTCAAGTCACTCGAGTCTTTGCTCAGCAGTATGGCACATACAATCGTGAGCCTTGCCAGGTGACTGAATTCTAGCATGAGCTGTACAGAAAACTAAAAGCTGAAATGTCTTGCTAGACCGCAGTGCAGAACCACATCAGCGTGGGAAAGTGTCATCCGGACCAGTGCTTATCAGGAAAGAAAACAATTAGCAAAGGTTAGTGTTAGTCTTAAACTATGCTACTGAAATACCAAGCATCTGCTGTTGTAACATAATGTAGTTCTGTATGCCTCCCTTCTCCCTGCAGGTGAAGACACTGACTTCTTGACAGAGACTCAACAAGAACTATTTACTTTTATGAAGCTGCAGTTGTGTGGCTAAAGCGTGCATAGCCTGCCCAGGCTTATAAGTAAAGACATCTTGAAAGTATCTACTAGGAAAATATATTGATACCCTTTACTCAGAAAAGGGCCCGCTAACAAGTATGGATATATATTTTTGTCTTTAACTTAAATTAATCTTGCTCTCTTGTGCTCCTCTACAGTGTCAAATTCTTAGTCTTTTGTGTGACTTGCATCTGACCTAGTCTGCTCAGCTAACATGTCTAGAACTTGTCTAATCAGTTTGTAGTTGGAAGCATCTGGTTTGGGGTAGGGGGAGAAAGGTGGCAACAGGTAGGAAGTCAACAGTAAATCACTCTGAGCTTTTTTAAAGCTTCAGTATGAATAAAGGATTGCAGGGAGCTTAATGTCAATAAGCGAAAATGTGTTTTGAAGCAAATTGGGGCTGAACATAGTTGATCCTATAGCAGTTATTGACAGAAAAGCTGTAAACTGTGGATCTTTTAGGAGTGTTGTGGCTGCGCAATGTCAAGTTACCTTCCCTAGGTGGGGAGAAAATGCTCACAGGTAGCATCAGCAACTACATAGGACAAGTAAGCTGTCAGCCTGAACTAAAAAATAAAAAAATCCTTGTAGTGAAGACTTGTAGTAGTAGTAATGATAATACATGGACTCTGTCCATGAAGTGTTAAAGATTCTTGGTTACTAGAAAACATGATGCTCAGGAGCTCCAGTCAGATTATCCTGTGTTGGTGTGAGGTTTTTTGGGTTTTGTTTTGGTTTGGTATTTTTCTTTCTTATAGGAGGAATATTTCTTGGTTACTTTTTTTTGCATCTGAACAGTGATGTAAAAACAGCTCAGATTCAATATTGTATTTTCCTGTTCTAAGGAAAGCTATTGCTTAGCATGAATCGCTATCTCTTAGGGCTAAAGATACAATAATGGATGTCTGCTTTTTAACTTTATATTAAATAGAATTTCTGTGAAGGCTAATTTGAGCAAGAAATAGATTTGTCAATCTATTTGCACTGTGAAGAAGTACGGTGTCTAAAAAGATTGTAGCTCTGTTGCTACAATACCTGTACAGAGATATATGCTATAATTACAAGCTCACGTTAGTGAGTCTTGTCTGTGTTCTGATTGCCTGTTAAGCGTATCTGTAGTAGGTGTCTTACTGCCATTTCTGGGAAAATCCGTGTGAGCTTCATGATGAGGAACACGTCAAGTCATTAGCTGTGCATCAAATCTGTTTTCCAATAGAGGGAGGCTACCATGCTAAAGGAGTCATATTCTGTTATTCCTGTGATAGGTGAAGACTAAAGCCATGGAGATATTGAGGAATGAGATGTAAATATGTTAGCATGGGAATAAAGGGGAAATGCAGAACATAAGCCTGACAGCAGACTTGACAAGTCAGTGATTTGTGCTTAGTGCTTTCCCCTACATTAACCCTGTGGGTTAAGTACTTACTATTCCTCAGCCTGCAGGAGCAATCTATTGAGCAATCAGACACATATATTATGCTGCCAGGGTTTTGGACCGAAGAGAACACAAGTATGGGCACTCAAAGTGGTATGGTGAGTTTACTGTTTATCTTGCATCATGCTGACAGTCTCCCAAGAAATGTTATGCACTGTTATGCAGTGTTTTCTCCAGATGGGTGAGTAGCAATCATCATCTGTTGTAACAGCACTCTACCAGCAAAGCATAGGCTGTCTTGGGTAGCCTGTGCTGCCTTTTCCCCTGTTAGAGTTGTCTGGGGGAAAACCTAGCAACTAGGGACTGCTGTGAGATCCAAGCATGAGGCTGGGCAGCCTATTTCAGTACTGTTAACACAGTTTTGATTGTGGCTTCCTGGGTTTCCAATTCCTCTCTTCCAACCAAGATTAGAGGACAGCATCACTTAAGAATAGAAAGCTGGTATTTACAGTCTCATCTAACACACCTTAATTTCTTATTGAAAGATTAGGCAATACCTTGAGATTCTTTATCTGTTGATGGGGGATTTAAGAATTGTTGAAAAGCCAAATGATGCCCAGGTAAACTGTGGGTCTTCAGTTCTTCTTAAAGTTCTATTTAGTGCCACTTCTCAATATGAGAAGCATTAGTTAGATGGTCCTTTACCTTTTTGATATGTGGGAAAATGAAAATTCAAGGAGGTTCCCCTCCATGGTTGAACTTGGATTTATATAAAGCTGCTTGTCAGATTTTTCCAACAGTATGCAGGACACAATGGGTTTGAATATCAGTAAAATCTTTTAAAGATGTGACGGTAATGGTCTCTCCACCTCAGAGGTGTCTGTTTATAGTTAAATTCAGGAACTGCCTTCTTGGTTATATATGTAAAGAAAGACAAAATCCTCTTCAAGTGTTGTATCAACACCTCTTTGCCTTTTAAGTGGATATTTTATGGCCGCATGCTTTTCCCCTGGTATTTGGGATGTTATTTTATATCCCTGTTAACACAAGTTGAAAGCAAATCGATCTTCTTTGTTTATGCTTAATGTCTTCTGCAATTCCAACAGGTGAATGATAAAAGTCTAAGGGAAAAGAGAAGTCTGGTGTGATTTGTTTTTATAGGAAAATGTGAACAATAGCAGTACTGCAGACATTTACCACCATTTATTTGGAATGGAAATAAATCGGTGCTACAAGTAGCCTTATTATATGTAGCTACTGAAACAAAGACAGAGCTCTCATTTTTATTATAGTCTATATTCAAAGATATGGCTAGTGTTTTAAAACTTTACCGCTTTGGAGATTTAAAGCAGCAGCACAAAATTCCCTACTAATACTGAAAAATTAATAAAACTGACATTTATGTTTTTCTAGGCCAATTTTCCTTCTTGGTATTTTGCTTTTCTTTTTGTTTTAGATCTTAATGTCTTCACTAAATGCTATGCAATTCTATCCAGAGGAAAACACATTCTCACAGTGAACCAAAGCTTCCCAAATACTTCCATCAAGTTTTGGCCTCTGCTACATGTCTATTTGAGATTTGAATCTTCACCTAATTGCTCCCAAGCAATTGTGCTTTTTCTGCTAGATTCCTAAATCCCAGATAGACCTGTGCTTCAAAAGAAATGCCTGGCAGTCTAAGTAAGCTGCATCAGTCTTGTTATACTACTTAGTGTAGTGCTAGGAGACCAAACTTGGGCGTATCTTGCTGTGTGAATTAGCACAAAGCCAGGGGCTTGTTCAGGGAGGGGTTCAGATGGGCCTAACTTCTACATCTTGTTAAAACCCAGCTGCTCTATGGGGAGCTGGGACTCCTCAATCTGTTAAATGCAGTAACAGCATTTGTGGTTGCATGGCAAATAAGTTAGAGAGTAAAAGTAAGTCAAATCCTGCCTCCTTACAAGCTGAGGTATATGCATATTGTTATGATTGTGGGTTGGTTTTGGTTTGTTTGGTTTTGGCTTTTTTAGCTACTGCCATGTAGACCTGGAAGGATAGGCCTGGCTTTCCTAGGCTCAGGGAATATGGAGCCATGGCAGCTACCAGTTAAAAAGCTCTCCCAAGGAACTGACTGAAGTCCTTTTCCAGGAGGCTTTCTTCCCCCTCACCCTAAGCACACCTATGTGCAGCCCAAATGTGTAACCATAAAACCTCTTGGCACCTATATGGTGCTCCTTAGCATAGAATTTCAAAGTGCTGTGTTGAGCAGCCCCAGGCTCCCCTCTGCTGTGGGGGTTGAGTCCTCTGCCTCAGAGCCTGGGCTTGTCTAAGGAACCTTTTCCTTTAACTACTAGGGAATATTCTCTCTGAGGTACTCGCCCTTCCCACCAAGAGAGAATCTGGCCTGCTTGCTGTCTTCTGGGTGTTTTGCCTAGGTGTTATTTCTGCCAGCAGGCAATGCGCTGCTGAGCCCTTTTCATAGGGCGGGCAGAGAAGTTGTCACTCTCCTGAATTCAGGTGGAAAAACCTGCCCTGGAGAGTGAAGCTGTGCAAACCTCCTGAATCCTGGGCTAATACCCTACTTATTAGGCTTCCTCCTTCCAATTCGTGTGCTTTCTCCTAAATAAGCCACCATCACATACTTTCAGCTTCACTGGAACAGCCGCTGGACTTTGAGGTTTGATGAAACCCAGAGCCTATTCTCATACTGTCAATAGCAGCAACTCCTCCCTCTAGAAGCACCAACTGCCTGTCTGATGGCATCAAAGGAGTTAACTTCTGTAAAATCTACTATATGTAACCACCTGCTCTGCCCTGCTTTATTCTTCCCTAATACAAGGTTTAGGATGGTTGTGGGGCAGAAGTTCCTCTTTTCTTTGGTTTCTTCAACTCTCTCTGTGATCCCACCTGGTCTCCTCTCATCAATTCACCTAGAGTGGGGGCAAGGGTGCAGCTCTGAAAATAAAGAACTTCTTAAGAAAGCAATCGGCGTGGTCTAGCCATCTCACCTATGAGCTGATGCCCCTTGTTCATATTTCATCTTGCCTTTAGCCTGCTTCTCTGCACTGCTCTCCAGGGTCTTTGGGCAGGGTCTGTGCACAGTCTGGGCTGTTTCTCTTTGGCTCAGTTTGAAGCATGTTGTTCTTGTTACTGGGGGGAGCGAGTATATATCTGGGAACACTTTTGTTTAAAAGACAAAACATGTAGATGGAGAGTGCAGCAGCTGACAGTGGGACCTGCAGAATGGTGTAATCGTTTCACCACTAAACAAGGGTGAAGGACTAGTTGTTCAACACAATTGTATCTGGAAGCTTTTCCTGAGATTCTTAAATTCTTTTCAATTAATTTCTGCAGAAGATTTTACAATGCTTTTCATCCCTTTTCTCTTTAGTAGTTGAGCATTTGTCTGCCCCACTTTCAGCTTTGACTAGTATCACTCATGAGATTTCTTGTATGAGAACTGTGACTAGAATAGGAAAACTATGTTTTGTGGTGGTGGCTGCTGTTTTAGTACTTACATTCTGCTCTCCAAGTTGGTAAGGAATTTCAGTGACATGATAACCTGGAAAACAGCACTTTTGGCGCTGGATGAGTTTATTTCAGTAACCTGGGGATTAACCCCAGTTTACTCTCCTGTATCTCTTTAGCACAGTAAAAAATTCCGTCCTTTAGGTAGAACATAATTTAATTTGATTCCTTAGCCATGGCCTTCCAATACTTGGGCTGCTACTTTAGCTTTATTTCTATGCAAGTTTTCAGCATATTGTGTTAAGAGAAGATGTGTTCATGTGAAAGATGTCCTCTACTTCTCTAACTTGTGCAATTTTTTCTGACTGAGGTTCCACTTTTTTTTTGCCTATGTTTTATGGATTATCGTGGTGTTGCTGCTGGAATTCATTATAGCTTTATGTACAGTCCTGGAGGCTAAACCTTGTACCCTTAAGTGTGGCACTTGGTCTCTTTCACATCAATTAAATTAATTCTGTGGATATATAGGAAAGGGAAAAGAGGAGGAACCTTGACTGCGTTCCATTTTATTGAAAAAAAAAATAAAATCCAACATTTAGTAGCAGCAGGGCTTGTACCATCATGAACATAATAATTCAGCCTGTTCTGGATTAGTAAAATGTCTATGCCCAGGGCAAAAATTACAAAAGCAGGGAGTTATAGAGATGTTCTGTGTCAACTGGAGCAAGAATTAGTTTCTTTCTCAGAGGGGAGAAACAAACCTGGCAGCTCCTAGGAGCTCCTAGTCACAGACAGATACTGAACCTACCTCTGTTTCCTACTCATGCATCTCAGTCATACACATATGCAGGTGGAAGGAGCCATCCCCTGAAGGGGGAATCAGGCAAATTAAACAGTGCAAGAAGGCAATGTATTCTAGTAAACTGACTCCATCTTGGACAAGGTCTTTGGTCCTTTTGCAGCACAGTGAGTGATTTAGGGCAGATGATTCCCTAAGGTCCATTTAGATGCAGTCAGGCTGTGCTGGAGCTCAAAATATTTAAAGGTATGTCAGTAGCCACTGGAATTCCAGAGCCAACGAACAGGCACAGGCAGGATCTAGTTCACTGCCGCTGAAACAGTGAAGTGTCCTGAAATGCAAAACCTTGCCTTTGTGGCTACTTGCCTTCAGGAACAGGCTGCTCCAGCGTGGGTCCCTTGCTGGGTCCCAAATCCTGCAGCAAGCCTGCTCCACAGTGGACTTCCATGGCCTGCAGGGGCACGGCTGCCTCACCATGGGCTGCACCACAGGCTCCAGGGGAATCTCTGCTCTGGCTCCTGGAACACCTCCTCCCCTCCTTCCTCACTGACCTGGGTGTCTGCAGGGCTGTTTCTCTCACACATTCTCATTCCCCTCTCCAGCTGCAATTGCTCCTGAGCAGTAACATTTTTCCTTCTTAATTATGCTATCCCAGATGTGCTGCCACCATCATTGATGGCCTCATCCTTGGCCAGTGGTGGGTCCATCTTGGAGACAGCTGCCACTGATTCTATCAGACACAGGGGAAGCTTCTGGCATCTTCTTGTAGAATTTATCCCTGTAGTCCCCGCCCCCCCCCCAAAAAAAAAAACTTTGCTGTGCAAATCCAACACAGCTTAAAAAAATATTCTCCTTATATTCTTGATAAAATCCTAAAGATTGTGAGAAATCTAACATGGGTTAAAACAAAACAGAAGCATATAGGATATGATTAAATGTAGTTACATCTTGAGGGCTAGTGCTACCTGCATAAATTTGAACATAGCTTCTTTTTGAGACACTGATGGATTTCATGCTGTTTGCTGCAATACGCATGTACCATGTGAGAAGAGGACAGAGTCAGAGTAGGCTGAGCCTTGGACTAAAAAATGGTCAAAGACAATTGTATTTTCTTTCCAACAAACAGAGGGAAAGAGAAAAAGGGAAGGATACCGCAAAGTTTTGACTTTACAGTGCTCTGCTACAGGGTGTGTCCACAAACCTAAAACCTAAGCCATATGCCCCACAGGGATGTGCTGATACATCCATCCCGGTGAGGATGGCTTTTCTAGCCTGTTAGGTCCTGGTGCCTGCTCTAGCTATGCCTTACATCTGCCCTTGGAGAAAAGATTAATCTGTCTTAACTTGCTCCACACAACTCAGCCCTGGGATTTGCTCCTCTTTCTGCATTCCTGGCCTCAGCACAGACAAATCTGATGAATCAGTCTGCAATGGGATTTACAAAACAACCCCTGTTTTTTGGTGGTGTGGCAAGAACTCTGTGATGTCTGTAGGAAGAAAGTCAAAGTAATTAAGACTAAGTTCTCACTAGTTTGATTTTGGTTTGTGCTTTACAGGACTGTTACTAGCTGTAGGAAAAGGCTGATCTGACAGCTTTTAATAAGGAGCTATTATGGTTACTAGAGCCATCCTAGGTTTCAGTACACCTTGAGGATAAGATTTTGCATCTTTCTGATACCTGAATCAATTTATTTCATGTCAGAGAGAAGGAAGAACAGGAAGATATTTCAGCCTAATCTTATTTGTTCTAGCAATTTGATGTAAAAACTTCTTCCATAATTTATCAGACATTGAGGCAAGGAGGTTTTATACATTAAATACAGAAATATCATATATTTTTGTATATATTAATAAAGCAGAGAGGATTATAACAGCAATTTATCTATACAAAATGTCTGTTTATATTTCATTTTCAATATTTAGCAGTAATTGCTAGATTTTACTTAACTATCAATCAGATATACAAAATACAAGCTATGACACTGGTATTTATTTGTTTGTGAGCAAAGATATTCTCATTATTACTTAGTTTGTTGATTTTTTAGGTACAGTGGAAAAGTGGATAAATAGACAATACTTGAACTAACCATACATGTTCTTCCTCATCCTAGTATTAAAGTGCGGACAAACCAATACAGATAGTATCCTTATAGCGTTGTCAATTCTTTTGTTAAAATTCAGTTTAAAACCTATGGATTTACTATTGTCCTTAATACCCAGAAGATCTGTCAGAACAGCAATTAGGTAAATCCTAGGAAGATCAGTTGGCTTTTCTTTTTTCACTTTTGTATCAGAATAGGTTTAATATTTCTCAGAAGCTTACTACTAATAAAAAAAAAAAAAGAGAAAGACATAAAAAAGCAAAACGACTTCTGTCTTAGCAAGCTGCAGCTCAGGTTTTTAGGCAGTCCTACATCACCTTCCATCACCACGTCATATGTACAGCACTGGCCCTCGCTCTCCCTCCCTTGTTCTGTCCTCCTCTCACAACCCATGCTCTGGCAAGGAAGAAATTTTGCTGTTTTTTTTTTTGCTTGTAAAGACCCTGAGCGTGCCGGGGCGAGTGCTCCAGGTGGGGTCTACACCCGCTTGACGCTGTTGAGGAGCTCCGTCAGTTCGCTGATGTACTTGATGGTGTACTTCAGGGTTTGTATCTTGGTGAGGGGCTGTCCCCTCTGGCTGTAGACCGGGGGCAGGTAGTTGCGCAGTGTGTGGAGCGCGTCAGCCAGGGTCCTCATCCGCAGCTTCTCCCTCTCGCTGGCTTTCCTCCTGCGCTGGGCGGACATCCTCACCTTTGTGCCCTTGGGCAGCCGAGCCTGCCCGGGGCTAGGTAGGTAGGCAGGAGGAAAGTCCACCAGGCTGTAGCCCACCAGGCTGCCACTGCTGCTGCTGTAGGGGGTCTCCACTGCTGCTGGGCAAGGGGATGAGGAGTAGGATTCAAAGGAGGGTGCTGGGGATAAGCTGTGCGGAGATGAGACAGGGTGCAGCTCGAAAGACCCAGTGGTGCTTTTCCAGTCCCAGGACGATAAGCAGACAGAGTGTTCTGAACCCAAAGCGTCTTCCATGTTTATCAGTGTCTCATGCAGTTTGTCCATGCTGGAGGAGCGCTCGGGAGAAGCAATGCCCTCTGCCTGCCAGCAAAGGCTGGAGCCGCCGGCTGCGGAGACCTTTTTATGATGGAGGGAGGAAAGTGACAGAGTGGGAACACGGGTTTGGTGAGAGGAGTTCAAAGGAGCAGCACAAGTGCTAAGATGGAAAATGAACTCCTGATGTGCTAGTTTCTTCTCAGTGATAATTATCAACCTTCAGCTAAAAAGCCTTTAAGCTAACAGGCAACAGAAAGAAAGGAGGAAAAAAGATTATCTTCTTGCAACTAAACCAATTAAGGCTGCGCATCTACATTTAACATTGTATTGGGGGGATAAGTGGTAAGAGAGGAAAAAGAAAATTAACCTTTTTACAAACAGTTTACAGACATAGAATTTAATGGCTGCTAACACAAACTCTGATTTTAAGCCATTGAGCCCTGATTTCTGTGTAACTGAATGCAATGGCACTACAGCAGGGATGATTTGATTTGTGCTCACTGCTGCTGAAATAGTCTCTCATTATCAGCAACTTAATCATGAAAGTCAAAGATGTTTTTTTTGGATTTGTCTGTGTTACGGCTCTTTAAATCCTCTTTTCATGAGATTGCAGCTTCCCTCTGGATCACTTTGGTTTTTAGCAGCAGAAAGGAGAAAAGAACAGCAATGCATTCCCCCACAACTTGTAGATTCGTTTGCTACTTTAAATCATGACTGGGAAATCAAAAAAGAAATCTGTAATTGTAAACAAAGTTCCATTAAAAAAAAAAATAGGAAAATATAATCTTACAAAGAAGTCTATTAAATAAAATACAGTGTAACAACTTTGGGCCTAGATAAATATTTTACATGGAAATGTCATCCAAAGAAATTTACAGATTACACGTGTGTAAGAGAAGACTAGCTCTTTCTGTAAAGTTTTCTGTCTCTAGGACTCCATTCTTCTGCCAAAGAAACCTTTTCCCAGCCCTGACTCAACTCAACAGTGCAATTATATACTAGGCAGTTCAGTGAAAACATATATCCTATAAATTAATAAGATTAATTATGAGCACTTTTCATATCTAGGCTTCAGAACAGCTTATAGTGATGATAAATGACCGTTATTACGCTGCGGAAATGGATAAGCAGAAGCAAGGAGTAATTTACCCAAAATCACAGAGCAAAGCATTAAGAGAGCCAGGAAAACTGTCCAAAACTACTGAGCTCTGCAGCTATACTGAGCAGCTTGACTGCCAGCCGTGACTTTGTATCTGCCCATAAAGGAAGCAAAAAAAAAAAAAAATATATATATATAACGAAAAGAAGGGGAATAAGAATGACAATTTGGGGTAAAAGAAAAGTAGGATTTAGTTCAGAGATTTATTCTGTGGTAGCGTTCTCTGTATGCACCATAATCCACTCTGAGAAGTGGGGGGAATGCTTCAGCTGTGCCATTCTAGAATACATTTCTTTCTGACTGTGAAATCCTCACCTCAGCTACAGAGAAAAACAACGCAACAGTCCACTACTCGCCATAATCATTGTGAGGGTTTTTGTGAGTTTTGGTAAGTTCAGAATCAAAATGCTGGGAAGCAGCTTGTGGGAGACAGCGATTTTAAGCTGAGCTGAGTAAGAATCAAAGAGTGAAGGATTTTTGCACTTCATCCCAGGCTGAGACAGTTGGACTATGATGACATCTAGCCCCTGTTGGCACTGCTGGGATAAATGTTGGATTTGATGATGTTAAAGGTCTTTTCTAACGTAGTTAATTCTATGATTCTGTGCAGAAACTCAGGGCACAGCTCTCCACAGTGAGGATTGCATTGGGGTTTTATGGTTACCCTGCCATTTTCTGAGCTCTGCTTTACTCATTTAAGGAAAATGAGTTGAAAGAGTCACAGGAATCACAAATGCCTGCTACAGATTAAAATTAACACAAGATGAATGACAGGTATTTTCTGTGACTTCAGTGAACAGATGTGTTTCATTGAGCATCAAGACAATGGTCACAAGGCCAGAAGTTAAACACGAGGCCTAATTTGGCATAAACAGGGGATTCATTTTTGTCCCACTTAAAATCTCTTTCCCACTCTTTTTCCCTTTTCCTCCCCGTATTTGTGCCTATGGTGCCTTTTCCATTTGTGTGTCCTTGCTTTTACTTTATGTCTTTCCCTTTTTGGTAAACGCAACAATTAGAAGGCTACAAATATAAAAAACTGGGAGTGGGAGGTGGAAGAGGAGGGACTTCTGTCAAGGTATGCCAAGAAAAAGGAGCTTGCAAATATGTGTATGTGTGTGTGTATATAAATATATTAAAAAACACACATATTGAACACATATGTATATATATATATAAACTGCTCTGTTCAGCAGTTTTGATTATGGAATCATATGTTAATTATAGGCAGTCCAATTTAGAAGCAAAAACCTCAATAAGTCATGTGTTTGCTGATTATAAACAATGCATGTTGCCAGTTTCTTTGTATTCCTCTTTTATGGGTAAATCATAGAAAGTGTTGCTCACACACCAAAGGGGAAAAGATTTTGTGCATGTCCAAGCTGCTGTTACTGTAGAGGATGGGTGAACACTGTCTGATTTCATCTTTGTATTCTAACATTTAGGGATTCAGATGAGACTGCACAGGGAAGAGGAATGCAAATTATAGCGATAGCTATATCTTTTCTTAAATCTTATGGGTAAATGTTTAGAGTAACCATGACAGGATATTAGAGCATGTGGACAACTGCTCTGCTTGCATGAAAAATCACTGTATCTTGTAAGCTTATGCTCTTCTAAACTGTTTCGCAGACACAAAAAATTTACAGGCTTTTCTGTATTAAGAGATAAGAGGTTAATGCTCATACTTGAAAACTGTCTTGCATCTGTGCATCCTTGTTTATTACCATCGTATTCTCCGGTGTTATTTGAGCTTGGACCCACCTGGTTATGTCCCAAATGTTGCCTAACTGTGATTCAGGAGATGCCACCAGAGGCATAGGCATGAGCAAAGGTTTTACCCATATGAAAGCAAGTTGTGACGTAACACATCTTCAGAGCCAAAGAAGGAGCTGTGGCCCTGTTGCTCTGCTGCTATAGATGCAGCCAAAGGTTCAGTTTTGAAAAACAGCCACCCATGTCTACCCACAGCCCCTATGTTCTCCAAATGTACCCACATGAAGTGTGCCTCAGTTTTGGCCAAATCAGGAAGCTATGTAATCTCTCTCCACAATCCCTGTATGATCCATAGCCTATGGGATGTCTCTCTCCACGTTTGCTGTACATAGCCTATGTAAGCCAACAGAGTCTCGTGGTGTGTAGTTTTGGATAGCACTACATTTCCATCCATAAATGCAAAAATCCTCATTTAGGAAACTATCTTGCAAAGTAGAGACAATGTAACAGGCAGAAATTACCAGAACAGGTCACAGTGTTGTTTTATAACGAGGCTTTAAAAAGCACTATACAGAGCAAGGCATGGCTACAGGCTGGAGACCAGATTTATTTATCTATAGGCCATGACTATTTAATGTTTTCTCACTAAAGAGCTAAGAAAGTCTAATATGTCAGTTGGCACCTTCCTGGAAAGTAAATCTGTGGGGAAAATAAATCTTTATTTCGTATGCAATCTTTATTTCATTCTACCTCTCACAATTTTTAGGAATTCCCTTTTTGTCTGGCAGTAATGTCAGAACATTGAAGGCTAGTGAGTTATAAGGTTAACAACAGTGAAACACAAACTGACACTTAACAATTGATGAGGCATTTTCTGCTTGACTGATAGTTTTGATTTTCCTGTCACTAATTTATCCTGCACTGTAAAGGCTAACAGTTTAATCTTCATCTCTTTTAAAATGCAAGGTTCCTTGCTCATTTTTCTGAATTCATTATAGAAGAGAGGAGAAACATGTGAGGAACAAAAAGTTTTCTGTTCACAAACAAACATACATGGAATAGAAAACTTTTAAAGCTTCCATATGTGTCTGATTCAGGTTTTAAATTTACAGTAAGTTGTGCAAATAATCACTGTCATCCTCAAGTACGGTAGATAAACAATTTTTTTTTGTGTGAAGTTATTTAAAGACTGATCTACTTTATTTAACTTTTATTAGAGTATGTTTCCACCAAGCTGTGAGTTTGGTAGGAGAAACAGAATTGTGACAAAAGTAAAAACTCATATTGGATGAGAAGAATGAAGAGGTTGAAACTGAGTAAATATGGATAAATGTCTTTCAATAACACTACTCCCATAACAGTCAGTTTCCTTTACAATTAGGATGGAAGTCTAGTCTTATTTTATTGACAAGAAGCAGACCATACAAATATCCTTGTAGAGCACTTAGACGATAAAGCCTCATCTTGCAGTTTGTACCATGAAAAAAAATCTATGTCTCAAAAGCTTTTAAAGTTGCTTCTCATTTAATAAGATGTTTCCCAGGTATTAGCTGCTACTCTGCCCACTTGCTGAGGAGGTGGCTGTCACCATCCAGCTTTACAGAGGTGTGGATGAGGAGTCAATCCCCCATATATAAAATGTGGGGCAAGCAGCTGCAGGTCTCACTAACTCCAGCAGACGCAGCAGGTGTTCAACACTTCTGAAAAATAGTGTTGAACACCTCAGTTTACACCCAAGTTGGCAATAAAGGAAGGGAAGGATCCACCACATCTGTTATCCAGAGTCACATGAGCCACCAGACAATGCTTCTCTCCTTCTTAAGGCTTTCCCTCAACTTTGACAGACGCATTTATTTTTAAATGTGTAGATTTTGCAGCTTTTTTTTTAACTTGTGGAAGATGGTTTAATCCGGGTCCAACCTCTATTGAAATAGGTAAGACATCTAGGTAAGCAAGCTGGTCAACAAATGCATACTTTTTCTCCTTTTTCTTTTCCTTTTCCTTTCTCTCTTTCCCTTTCCCTTTTCCTTTCATTTTTCTTTTATTTCTTTTTCTTTACCTTTTCCATTTTCTTTCTCTTTATCTTTCTCTTTTTCTTTTTCTTTTCCTTTTCCTTTTTTATTTTTTTTTTTCTTGAGGTTAATATGCTAAAGAACATGGATGAACAGCCAGCTACAATTCCCTGTAACTGGGAAAGAAGGCAGTAAGAGAACCATGACTGGTCCTGAGTCCAGCCCTATGAAAAGGAAGCCACAACCCTTACTATAATCCATAAAAACCATGTGTAAATTGGATGTCTAATTGTTATTACTGCCTTTGGCCAAACAAACTTGTGGCTAGCACAAAAGAAAACACTGTTATTCATTTGTAGTAAGACCAGAAATAGGCTAGTTCTAGTGCTGCTAAAAATTCCTGCCGTAAATGTTTAAAACTGTTAATGTTCTCAAGGGCACGAGTCCAAAATACCAAACTAGGAGCCTGCTCATGGAGAAAAGACAGTCAAGTAAGTAACACTGATTTCACGAGGACTTTGTATAGTGACAAGCACCTCTCTGGCATTGCTCTGGTAGGATCAGGACCTATCTATGTGCTTTACATCCTTAAACGTAAGTATTTGATCCTCCAAATAGTGGCAGTCTCCAACGATTGACAAGTGACATCAGCTCCGCAATTCATTTAAAACGTCTGATCTCTAAGCAACTGGCTTCCCAGATGAAAAGGCCTATGTGTGGAATTTACACCTAGCCACCTTTTAAGTAGGGAGTTTATTACCTAG